AGCACCTCTGTTCTCCCAATCACCTTTTTTTTTTTTTTTTTTGAAACAGAGTCTTACTCTGTTGCCCAGGCTGGCTCGAACTCCTGGGCTCAAACAATCCTCCTGCCTCAGCCTTGCTGGTAGCTGGGACTGTAGATGTGTACCACTACACACGGCTCAGAGTAATTTTGGAACACCTTTTCTCTGATATGTATGTATTCAACCAATTGTCAAGTTATGTAAAGGACACCTCTGCAGTCTCTGGTATTCATTCACCACTTTGTGGTGATTCCCTAAATCACCACAAAGTTTAATCTCTCTTTGCTTCTCATCTGGCCTCTTCTGATAGCCTCCTAACTGTATCATCTTCATTATCCACTCCAAGCCATTCTCCCCTTTTCATTTCCCTAAGGAGTCATTTTTGCTATTGGCATTACCCTATTGAAAAACTTTAATAGTTTGCTGAATTAAAGGTAAGCTGTTTATCCTAAGCACTTTAACTCCTTCAGAGTGTGGTCAAAGCTTACTCCTCTGCATAAGCATACTCATTACCTTAGCAAAAACTAGATCAGTCAACCCTAATGTATTATGGGCTTTTATAACTCTGCTATACCTTTACCTTCAGTCTAGAATGTTGTTCCCTCATTTTTGTCAAAATCCTATCTATAAATAAGGACTCTTACAAGCATCATTATCTTTGTAGAGCCTTTCTTGATCTTCCCTAATAGTTATGACTTTGCCTCTCTGCGTACCTGTCTGTCCATCTCTTCCTTCCTTCCACCCCACGAATTAGGGCTCAATTGCAGGAAACTGAAGGCATTCTAGCTATTTAAGCAAAAGTGCCTTTAATATAGGAATTGGGTGTTTCTAATTGTTGAGAAGTTACAGAAATAGCCTGTAGACTGAGCCTGAAGGAACAACTTCCAGAACAGTTGCTCTGAACTGGCCCATAAGGGGAGCAAGTAGAACTGGCCTACCAGGGAAACTAAGCTGCCACTACCTCTAATTGCTTCTCAGTATTCACAAAGCTATTGTGGGACACTAGAATGCTGCTGCAGGAGAACCTAACACTGTTTGGAATGAGATGATTCAGTACAGTAGGTGGAAGTGAGTCCTGTAAACTAATGTTTGCTTATTAAGAATGGAGGCAAGCCAGGCACGGTGGTATGAGCCTGTAGTCCCAGCTACTCGGGTGGCTGAGGTGGAAGAATGGATTGAGCCCAGGAGGTTGAGGCTTCAGTGAGCAGTGATCACGCCACTGCACTGCAGCCTGGGCAACAGAGTGATACCCTATCTCAAAAAATAAAAATAATACAATTGAATTTGAATTTACATCTTTCTCTGAAATAAGAGGCTCATTTAAGAGACATTTCTGGGTAGTACAGAGGTAGGAACACAAGACTATAGGAGGAGGAGTAACCTCAGTTCTGGATTTAACTTCCCCTGTGACCTTGAGCAAGTCTCTTAGCTGGCAGCCTATGGCTTCAGCTGCCGTGTCTTCATTGATGGCTCCTGAAATCTGACTGTCCTGTGAAGCTGGAGATTAGTCTGTCCCAGTGGTTCTAAACCTCAGTGTGCATTAGAATCATCTGGTGGGCTTGTTGACTGATCACTTAGCTCCTTTAGAACCTGTGTTAAAAACAAGAGCTCGTGAAGAGGAATTCACCATCTCTGGCACCTGGATTGTTCTAACGAGTTCCCAGGTGATGGTAATGATGTACTTGGAGGAATCACACCACTACAGTGTCTGTGTGTCCAAAATGGAGCTCATCATCTTTGCCTGCAAATCTGCTCCTCCTCCTCTTTTCCCTGTTTAGGTTAGTAACTTTAGCATTTACCAGGGTCATAAGCCAGAAATGGCGGGGGAGAAGAGGGTAGGTAGGTAGTTTCTAGGCTTCTCCTTCTCCTTCATCCCAACACACAGCCACTGTAGATTCTGCCTCCTTGGTGGCTTCCCAGTTAGGCCATTATCACTTGTCCCCTTCCATAGTACAATAACCTTTTTGTTTATTTTCATCTCCAACCTGCCCCAAACCCCAGCCCAACCCAGCCAATCCATTCTGCAGATATTTCTACAGTGTAATAGATCGGCCGGGCGCGGTGGCTCACGCCTATAATCCCAGCACTTTGGGAGGCCGAAGCAGGTGGATCACCAGATCAGGAGATCGAGACCGTCCTGGCCAACATGGTGAAACTCCGTCTCTACTAAAAATACAAAAATTAGCTGGGCGTGGTGGTGTGTGCCTGTAGTCCCAGCTACTCAGGAGGATGAGGCAGGAGAATTGCTTGAACCCAGGAGGCGGAGTTTGCAGTGAGCCAAGATAGCACCACTGCAATCCAGCCTGGGTGACTGAGCAAGACTCCATCTCAAAAAAATAAAATAAAAAAGAAGGTAATAGATCATAACTTTTCTGTGCTCAAGATGCTTTATTGTCTTCCTGGCCGGGCATGGTGGCTCACACCTGTGATCCCAGCACTTTGGGAGGCAGGCAGATCATCTGAGGTCAGGAGTTCGAGACCAGCCTGGACAACATGATGAAACTCCGTCTCTGCTAAAAATATAAAAATTTGCTGGGCATGGTGGTGGGCTGAGGAATGAGAATCGCTTGAACCTGGGAGGTGGAGGTTGCATTGAGCCAAGATTGCCCCACTGCATTCCAGCCTGGGCAACAAGAATGAAAAAAAAAAAAAAAAAAAAAAAAACTTAAAAAAAAAAAAAAAAAAAAAAAAAAAAAAAAAGATGCTTTCATGTCTTCCCATAGTTTCTAAGATAAAATTTAAGTTCCTTATTTTAGAATACAAAGCCCTTCCTATTCTGACCCTCAGCCTACATCTCTAATCTTGTGATGGACCCTCTTCCGTCAAGCCTTAGCACCTATAAACTTTATAAAACCTACTCTCTGTGAATTGCGCATGCCACTAATTTTCATCTAGCAATACATTTCTGCTCATTCTTTAAAATTCATCTCAAGTACCATTTGATTTAGATGAGCCACCTCTTGATTCCAGTGGCTTCCTGATCATACCTCTAGTGCTATATTGTAACCATCACTTAATTAGTTCATCAGTTTTTCTCTTCTAGACTATAAATTACTTGAACATATGGATTTGAGTCAATAGGTATAGGTAAGGCACGGGAATCTGCATGTTCAACGAATTCCTCGGGGCATTCTAGGGCTCCAATCTCAGGTTTGTTTGTCTGTTTTTCTTTTGTTTTGTTTTGTTTAGACGGTGTCTTGTTCTATCTCCAGGCTGGAGTGCAGTGGTGCAATCTTGGCTCACTGCAACCTCCTGGGTTCAAGCAATTCACCTGCCTCAGCCTCCCAAGTAGCCGCGACTACAGGTGCATGCCTGTAGCCTGGCTAATTTTTGTATTTTTAGTAGAGATGGGGTTTCACCATGTTGGTCAAGATGGTCTCTATCTCCTGACCTCGTGATCCACCAGCCTCAGCCTCCCAAAGTGCTGGGATTACAGGCGTGAGCACCGTGCCCGGCTTAATCTCAGTTTTAAGTGGTTTTTAAAATCTACTTCAACTCTGAAATATCAAGGCTTTTTTTTTTTTTTTTTTTTTGCAATTTAACTGGTATGGGGAGGGCAGGTAAAGCTTTCGGGTAGTTGATTAAAAACAACAACAAAGAAAGCAGAGGCTGTCTTCTTTCGTGCCCACAATAAGAGCTTATACTGAAATTTAGAGTAAAGTAGATAAGTAGAAATAAGATAAATACCCTTATTTCATTTAAGAGTGTTTGCACAATGTGTCCAATTCTTATTCACTAGTTCTAAAACTATTTATTGAGGGCTTACTATATGCCAGACACTGTTCTAGTCATTTGGAGTACATCAACACAGAGAAAACCCCTACCCTCTAGGAGTTTCCATTGGTAGGCAATAAGCAAATAAAATAAGTAAAGCAAAGTATCTTAGAAGGTGATGAGTACTATGGAGAAAATAGAACATTTAAAGGGGCTTTCTTTTACTTGTCAGTGTTTAGTAATAAATTACTAGAGAGAGTAATTTTTAAAAATTTGAGCTATTTAAATAAGCCATACTTTAAAAGGCAGGATTTAACCTACATGTAATCAGAAGAGAACTTGGGATTTGCAAAATTCAGGTCTGGTTTCCTTTTATAAAGTTGACAGTAAATGGCTTTCCCATTATGTCAATAGGAAATAAATAATTTAGTGACTCAGGGAATTGCTTCCAAGGAGTCAAAAGTAAATTATGTTTATACAAACGTTTTTACTACTGTTAAAAAAAAGCCACAAACCAGAAAAAAATTGTTTTGTACTTGTCTACAAGGCAGAGTTAATTTTATTATTAAAAAAAATCTATACTCTAAAACCTCTTCTATTATCTCCTCACCTCTTCGTTTTTATTTTTTGTTTGCATTTTCCCGTTTAGGTAAAAAGATATTGGTCCTTTTAGAATTTATAGGGATGGAATGGTATGAAGAAGCACAGGACTTCTGGTATGGAATGAGGAAGCTGGAGACTTAGCTTAACCTCTCTGGGGTGCTTAGAACTAAGTAAGAGAAGCAGTCTGTTTTTGCAAGGAAAATCACTTCTCCATCTTTACTCTCAAATAACTTACTTAATCAAAAGGTCTAATGTTTCATTGTAAACAGTCTTAAAAGTCAAAATTAATGTCACCTGCAGAGTAAGCGAAAAGAGTGATGAGCACTGTTTTGCACAGCAGTTGAAACTGATTTTCAAAGTCCTACCAAACAGTAAAAGACTTTTCTTGCGTTTCTGAAAAACTAGAACTGTGTGGTGATTCTGATGACTGTCAGTTCCTGTGGGGTGTTTACACAAAGGTACTTTTAAATGAAGAGTCATTTTTAGAGCAATTAGAGAAAAGGCTAGACAGAGAAGAGCGGCTCAGGGGCTTGGCAGGTCGGGGTTAAGGTTTATTGACAGGACAGGGTCAGGCGTCTGCTCAGCCACCACTGCCCCGAGTACCTGCCCTCCGGATACACCCAAGACCTCCCTGGCCTTGGCTCCCTGCCATAGGCCAAACTCCCATGCAGAATGAGGAGAGAAGGAAGGGGAAAGGAGGAAGAGGAGAGCAAGTTCTGCTTGCTCAGTATCGAACTGCAAGTATGAAAATATTTGTGTCTATTTTTCTGGCCCAGATGTTGTGTTAACAGTAGGAAGAACAAACTTTAAAACAAAGAGTTGTCTGTTCTTTCAAGTTTGTAGTTTGCAGTTATTGCATCCTGAAGAAAGAAATTGCCTAGCTAAAGTAGTCTTTTAATTTCATTTTTTAGTTTTGAGTTACAGGTTTCTGGCAAGCTCCCTGACCACTACTGTTACCTGGTGGCGCCTATATTTCATCAAATTTAGACATGCAGACTACCTGGATCCAGGCCCAGATGAACTGTTGTGACTGATAAACATGATCCCACCCTGCCCCCCATGCAGACTCCTGCTTTTCCCTTTAAGGGAATCTAAGACGTTGAGTCGCCGGTTCCCCAAGGGAGTTAAAGAAAAATGTGTTCCGGCATTTACATTTGCACTGTGGTTTTCTTGAGCTGCATCTCTCCTTGCCCAGAGGCTGGTGAACATCCTAGCAGTGCCCCGACTTCTCCAGTGTTGGTAATTAATGGGGGAAAATTTTTTGTTTTTAATAAAAACAAGCAGAGACATCTATCAGTACTCACAATCAAGGCAGAATTTGTTTGACATCTTGTGATTGCTGCGCACAAAAAGAATGACAGCAGTTATTAAACAAATAAGAAAAAAGATGCTGTTTATTGGTAGTTTTCAGATGTCCTAAGAATATTCTTAGTAATCTTACTGCCTTTGCTTGCGTAAGTAAAAAATAGTAGAATTGTTAATTTTTGCAATCTGGGTTGTATTAGGTTTGGAATCATAATAAAAATGTAAATATTAAGCAAATCTGTGCTGTTTAGCTATGTAACATACTCGTGGCTTTTCCTTTTATTAGAATTTATTTCAAATACTTGTTTTTAAGATGGTAAGGTATTAGCTGTCAATGCAATTAAACTTAATTGCATTTTGTATATGAATTGTTTTTGTCTCTTTTTAAATGTATTTATGGTTCTTTTCCTCCATACTAGCCATTCCTATAGATTTGTCTTGACAAAAAGTTATAAAAAATTGTTTGTTTGCTGCCGGGTACGGTGGCTTACACCAGTAATCCCAGCACTTTGGGAGGCCGAGGCAGGCTGATCACCTGAGGTTGGGAGTTCGAGATCAGCCTGACCAACATGGAGAAACCCCATCTCTACTAAAAATACAAAAAATTAGCCAGGTATGGTGGCACATGCCTGTAATTACAGCTACTCAGGAGGCTGAGGCAGGAGAATCGCTTGAACCCGGGAGGCGGAGGTTGCGGTGAGCCGAGATCGTGCCATTGCACTCCAGCCTGGGCAACAAAAGCAAAACCTCATCTCAAAAAATAAAAAAATAAAAAATTGTTTGCTTGGAAACAGTCTGAAGTCACAAATTTGATTTCAGTTTAATTTGGAAATTTTGAAATGAAAAATTGGGACATAGTCAAGTGGGAAAAGCGTTTAAACTGACTGTTAAGTGACTGAACTTTTGTTTTCACATCATGTTAATGTGATCTAAAAAAAATAATTAATTTCAAGTGGCCTAAGTTATCCCACTTGAGGATTGTTACAGTGATTTCAGTCCCTGACCTCATCAGATGATGTGGAAGCATCAGACCACATATTTTTATAAGTACTGGGTGAGGGCAGGAATTTGCTTGGAAGGGAGGAGAGAACCTCCTGGAAGGTTGATAATAGTTTGTGTTTTGGTAGGTGTTGGTTACACCGGTACATGCATTCGTCAGGACTCATTGAATGGTACCTTAAGATTTGTGCATATAATGGTATGTAAATTTTACCTCAAGATACCAACAAAGGAACTTATAAACGTATATTAAAATCTAGCATGTTAAAGTATGGTAGGAGAGTGGATACTGATCTTGATTGTTAAAACTTTCTTTTAAATGTACTCCCTAAAAAAGATGGATGGATGGATAGTGAAACGTTTAGAAATGTGGTTAAGAGTAAATATAGTGCCGGGCGCGGTGGCTCACGCCTGTAATCCCAGCACTTTGGGAGGCCGAGGTGGGCGGATCACAAGGTCAGGAGATCGAGACCATGGTGAAACCCCGTCTCTACTAAAAAAATACAAAAAATTAGCCGGGCGCGGTTGCGGGCGCCTGTAGTCCCAGCTACTCGGGAGGCTGAGCCAGGAGAATGGCGGGAACCCGGGAGGCGGAGCTTGCAGTGAGCCGAGATTGCGCCACTGCACTCCAGCCTGGGAGACAGAGCGAGACTCCGTCTCAAAAAAAAAAAAAAAAAAAAAGTATAGTAAAATGTTAATGGTAGAATCTAGGTAGTGTGAATGTTCACTGTATCTCTTTTTTTTTTTTTTGAGACGGAGTCTCGCTCTGTTGCCCAGGCTGGAGTGCAGTGGTGTGATCTTGGCTCACTGCAAGCTCGATCTCCTGGGTTCACGCCATTCTGCCACCTCAGCCTCCCGAGTAGCTGGGACTACAGGCATCCGCCACCATGCCTGGCTAATTTTTGGTTTTGTATTTTTAGTAGAGATGTGGTTTCACCATGTTAGCCAGGATGGTCTCAATCTGCTGACCTCGTGATCCGCCCACCTTGGCCTCCCAAAGTGCTGGAATTACAGGAATGAGCCACCACGCTCGGCCTCATTGTAAAATTCTTTCAGCTTTTTTGTGTGTTTGACATAAAATGTTGTGTTTCATAAAATATTGGGAAAAGATGAAGATACTGGTTTTTGCTCATTTAAGGATCTGTGTACCTCCATTTTAAATCCCCTCCTTAATTCAAAATCAGACCACTTGGATTAATACCAAAAAGGGGAAGGGTGTGAAAGTAGCTATTTAGATAAACAGAAAAATGTACCCACTTCATACTTTCTCTAATTACCTGCTGAAAGACCATTACCAAGCATGGAAGCCAAGGGTGTCTTTACAAACAAGAATAATCTGAGAAACCCAAACCACAAAGCCCAACCAATGACCTCTCCAGGCAGATAAAAATTGGCCTCCAGAACCCTAACCATGAAAAAAGACATGACTTCCTGACATGTAATCTTCACCAATGGCAAGGGTGGACCCCCCGCTATATACCTTATACTAAGACCCTATCAAATGAAAATGGGCTTTCGGTTTTCAGCCAAATCCCCAGGATTTGTCCATGAACACCTCTACTTTATCAGAATGCCAAGCTATTTCTTACATCCTGATAAAGCCTCCTTTTTAAAGACATATAGATTGTGTGTGTGTGTGTTTTTGTGTGTGTGTGTGTGTGTGTGTGTGTTAATCTTGAAGGGTCAAAAGGACAAATTGGTTCTGGTAGAATTTGAACCAAACTTTTAAAAGCTAATGATAATACATTTTTTAATGAGGCCATATTGTTCAGTTGATGCTTGAGCAGTAAACTAGAAAATCAAGACTTGAGAGGCTCAGTGATCCCAATTCCTTCAGGGTCTCATAGTGAACTCTGGTAAGTTAATTTATGTCCAAACTGATTTTCTCATTTGGAAAGTGAGAATAAAGCCTGACACAAAATGGCTAGCCCGTGGTTCTCAAACTTTTGTGTAGTAGGAATCATTGGTTAAGAAACCTTGATGTGTGTAAACATAATTTGATTTGTTAAAATAGAGATTCCTGGGTTCCAGACTGGGTTTTCTCAATCAATTGTCCTAGGGCAGAGCCCAGAAATCTACATTTTAATACACCCAGTGTGATACTGATGCAATTATTGGCTATTAGAACTCTTAGAGCTGTGAAAGCTCTAAAAGATATGGTATAGATGTGTTTTGATGGGTATTATATTAACTGACAATTTTTTTAGCTTTTTGTTATGAAAAAAAATTATTATTATATTGAGACAAGGTCTCACTCTGTGGCCCAGGCTGGAGTGCAGTGGCACGATCATGGCTTACTGCAGCCTTAACCTCCAGGGCTCAATCAATCCACCCACCTCAGCCTCCTGAGTAGTGGGGACTACAGGCGAGTGCCACCACACCTGGATAATTTTTATGTTTTTTTGTAGAGATGGGGTCTTGCCATGTTGCCCAAGCTGATTTTGAACTCCTGGGTTCAAGTGTTCTGCCCACCTCAGCCTCCCAGGTCTTCCAAAGTGCTGGGATTACAGGCATGCACCGTGTTATGGAAAATTTTAAATATGCATTAGAGAGAATAGTATGAGTCTCCATGTAAGAGATAGAAGTATCACCCAACATCCATCAGATTTTTTTTTTTAAGAGTCTGGGTTGCTCTGTTGCGCAGGCTGGAGTGCGGTGACACAGTCAGCTCAGTGCATCCTCAAACTCCTGGACTCAGCGTGCCTGTCTTCACAACTTCAATAATCTTGATTCACTTCGACTTTCACCCTTTCCTGCACCCCTCCTCCAAGGTGATTTGTAGAAGCAAATATTAGATATATCATTACATCTAGTAAATATTTTAGTAGGCATCTCTAAAATATTGAAATATAAGTATTATTTTAAAGATATATGACAGTTAAACCTTACCAAATTTGAGAGTGATTTCTTAGTATCAAATATGTCAGTGTCTAGATTTCCTTGATTATCTTTTTTGTTTGTTTGTTTCAGTTGTTTTGTTGGAATTAGGAACCAAACATAGTCCCATGTTGCATTTGGCTGATATGTCTGTAATCTTTTATTCTCTAGGTTCCTCCTGTCTCTGTTTTTTTCCTTGTTATTTATTTGTTGACGAAACCAGGTCATTTGTTCTATAGATTTTCTCAGTCTAGATTTTGCTTTTTGGGTCCCCATGATGTCATTTACCTTTTTTTCCCCTCCTGTTTCCTGCAAATTGGTGGTTTAATCACTTCCCTCCTGAAGTATGATCAGATTCAAGTTCAGTTTTTTGGCAGGAATACATCACAGATAGCGTCCTGTCCATCTTTCAGGAGGCACACGTTTGGTTGTCTTGTTTTTTGTCATGTTAGCACCATTGATGGTCATTGCTGAGATCCTTTATTTCCTGAGGGAGATCCTCATATTTTAACTTAGTGAGTTGCTCATGAATCTCTCCCCCTCATCATGGAGGTTTTTCT